AAGCGACTGCCTTCGGCTCAGGTCATGATCCTGGAGTCCCGGGATGGAGTCCCGCATCGGGCTCCCTGCTTGGCAGGGAGTCTGCTTCTCCCTCTCCCACTCCCCATTTGTGTTCCCTCTCTCACTGTGTCTTTCTCTGTCAAATAAATAAATAAAATCTTTAAAAAAAATAAAAATAAAAAAAAATAAAACATGAACTAAGCTGATGCACCTAGAAAAGTATGCTGTCTTATAGGGACTGACATGGAAAGTACAGGGTCATAGGGAGTTTTGCTTGCTTTATTTTGTTTTGAGGAACGGTGGCTAATAGGGACATAGGGAGGGGGAATATGGAAAGAAACTTACTGCTTGATTCCAAAATAAAGTTGACTCTTTCACCTTGGTTCTTGGAAATTCACACATAAGAGATTTATGTAATTACAGTTTAAATTGTAATGAAGGAACAGAAACTTGGAGCCGAAGGAGTGTTTTCTAGATGCCTAGAAAGGATAGTACTGTGATCCAGATATACGTACATGAGACTGAGAGAAAATTACCTGAACTTGGTGGGGAGGGGTGGCAGGATTAGAACTAAGCATATTAAATCCACTTTATTCAGTTCTGTACTACCCCCTCCTACAAAAAAGGGGAACAAAACCACATGTGGAAAAGAACTTACATTTTGATATTTCTTCTTGAAATGAAAACAAATCCTGTTGACTTTCCTGGTTACTAAGGCCAAGTGGCCTCTGAGTTTGTCTGAACTTCCTCTTTGTGGCTCTGGGTGGAAATCTCACACTGTGTGCCATGAAGTTGATGTGACATCTGCAGGGTCCCTAAAATCTTGGTATGCTAGGCAACTATTTTGGTCTCACTGTTTGCTGGTGAGCACCTAGCAGGAAATGAACTGGAGACTTGTTGGCTGCTTGACCCTAGTGTATACCGGAGAGTGTCTTTGCTCTTTAGTGTGGGGGGACAGGAAGGAAAGGGTGGGGGCCTGTGGGCATCCCAGGGCAGTGGGTCTCAGACCTAACTGTGCATCAGGATCACCTGGGGAGTTGGTTAAAATCCAAGTTCCCAGGCCCAGCCCAGAAATTCAGATTCAGTAAGGTGGTTTCAGGTTGAGAATCTCCATTTTAAGGGAATGCCTGATTCTGAAGCTGGTGGTCCAGGCACAACACTTTGAGCAACACTCAAAGATTCAGGTCCAGGGACTTGAGAGTTGTGCAGTGGGACTGCAGGTTCATAGACTTTTTTCTCTAAGCCATTAAATCATTGCGCTTGAGGTTGAAGAGTAGAATCAGTCTGCCATGCCTGCAAGCCAAGGATCAGCTCTGTAGAGCCATGACTGCCAGTAGTCTGCAGACAGTGGGTCTGGTGCACTGAATGGGCTCATGGTGGGAAATGGGCATTTGGATCTGAGAATGAGAATTTCTGAGAAGAGGAGGGAGGGCCCTGGCAGGGGCTGTGGAGAAAAGGCTTACCGTATTTTCTGAGTCCTCTCTGTGTTAGGGTGCCACTGCTCAGGATGGCCTTCACAGGAAGGACTGCCTCTGGGGAATTAATGTCCTCAGACTCAACACCTTCACTCATCCACCCGCATACCCAGCTACCACCACTATTGTCCACCTCCACCCGTACATACACACAACACATGCATACACACTTACACCACACCCCAGTGCCCCTTGAGTCCCCAAACCCCTTGTACTTACATGCTTACGTCTTTGGAAATGTTTTTCCTTAAAGGATATTGAGGGATAATCAATGAAAAGAAGCAGATGTAATATTTAAAATACGTTCAACATGAATAGATCTAGCATATTCAATGGAACTGTGGAAATAAGTCAGGACCAGTGATTATATATGGGTCAGAATGAATAGACTCTTGCTGAACAGGGTATGGCCAGGCCCATATGTGTTTCATTACCATACTGTTCTGGGATCATTAATGGTACCACAGACTCAGATGGCAATAGGACTTCATTCTTGCTCCATGGACCTCTTAATTCCTTTTAGGCTTTCTCAAACTTTAAAGATGAGGATTTAAATCAGTAGTTCTTAACTTTTTGAGGGTTGCAGTCTTTTTTGATAATGAGTGAGGTTGAACTGTTAATACAGAAAAATATATATACATTTGGAGATGGAAGTGTGGTTTATAGACTCCCTTGGACCCATCTGTGGACCCTAAGAACTCCTGCTTTAGTGAGCACAGAGGGCTTTTAGCCCCATCTCCCAAGGACATTTTCATGGCTCAAGTCTCTATTTGTAGAATGCCATCTGTAAGGGGAACTCAACAAATACCATTTGGTATTGTGTGCAAGCTTTCTGGAGGGTTTGTGTTCAGTTAGAAAGAGCAAGCAGATTTCAATGAGAGGGTGAAAAGAAGTAATGCATGTAAAGAACTTATTACCTGACATGACAAGTATTCACTTAAAAAATGACATACATTTAATATAATTACAAAGCCAGTTACCTTCATAAAATATCTCCATGTCAGAAGGAGTTTAGAAGCCTTAGCTTAGAGGTTAGGAGACCAGGGTCACACCAACTTGGTTGTTTCACCTCTTTTTAATCTTGAGTCCAGTAATTCTGTTCACTTCAATATGTATGAATTGCAATCCTACTGTGAGTAAAATTCTCTGTTAGGCATTTTGGAGAATAGGAGTGAATAAGGCCTCAAGAAACAAACAGGATCTAAAGGAATCACTTTAATCATTTGTGTCCCTTAACAGTATGGTAATGAAACACATATGGACCTGGCCGTACCCTGTTCACGTCTGCTGTGTTTTTTCCTAGCTCCCTGAGGGAGATGGGTTTACTGAGGGGCATTCAGGAGATGACTTCGCTTTCTGAGACTTGAAGGCAGCTCTGAAAAGCTGTGTGTGTGCCTGACTTCGTGTTGTGAATCCCAGCAACCCCTCACTCTGTTGTATGGGTGTTTCTTGAAGTTTCACCTTCGTCAAGATCTCTCTACCTGTGGCACTGGGTTCATGTCTGTGTCCTCCTTTCTCCACAGGCCAGGGGTTATCACCATGCAGGCGTTGTCGGAAGAGGACCGGAGGCTCTGGATGGAAGCCATGGATGGCCGGGAGCCTGTAAGTAACAATTCAGGGAAGTAGAACAGAAATATAGACTGTGAGTTGTTTGTTGCTTCCCAAGTGCAGTGATTTTTTCTCTTGATCTAAAGCCTTGGTTTCTCAAGGCCAATGTATCAGAGGGCATCTTTTACTCTTGAACTAACTTTCTTCAATAGTGATATTGCTTCTGTGTGGCTGCAGTCCCTGAGCTTTGGCCTCTCAGTCCTTCAGGCCTTTCAGGCTATGTGATACTCCCCTTGGCCAAGGCAACTGTAGTGTCCTTAGGTCTCTTAGAGGAGGCAGAGTCTGGCTTACTGAATATTGATGTGTCCATGGAGTAGGATGCAAAGTGTTATCTCAAACCTATTTGAGTAGGATAAATGATTATAAAAGTGTATACAGATTATGTTGTGTTTTTTTTTTTCATCACTTTCTGGTTCAGCCTCCCCTTGCCACAGTAGCCCACATCCCATTATACACAGTGGCATTATCAGTGTAGATGGAAGGATTTAAGCCTTGGTAGTGTGATCTGTGCTCCCATTTTCGAAATGCTGGCCTTTGCTGGTTGATGTAGTCTCATGGTTTTTCTGCGTCTTGTGACATGTAAAACTCACATCAGGGCCCTGGTGCCAAAGATCTCAACTGCAGTGTTCAACAGATATCAGGGTTATAGAAATCCTAGGAGTACATTCTACCCATGTCCCACAAACAAAAGATAAAAAGAATCCACAGTGTCAGAGGGCCAGTAGTTATCACTTGCAAAGGCACAATCCAGAGGGGAGAATGTGTGCAAGGCCATCAGGCCATAGCCTTCATTGAGTACAGAACTCTTTGCATCGAGGTGGGTATCCAGTATAGATGATTCCAGTTCATTTGTATGTTTCTTTCTCAGCCTACCCAGGTTAGGTGATCTATATTGATGAATGTATCTTTCTACTTAGCTATTTTGTATATAAACATGAAACTCCATTCCTTCAACTGAGCAGAAACAAATAACTAGTGTTTGGATAGCGTTTAATAACATAGAGCAAGATTTAAAGAACCACTTAAAGAGTTTGGAACAGCTAAATTCGAATTGAACATTATTCAGTCTTAATTCTTCTGCACTACATGTAAGATACCTCTTGTTTTCCCTGAGTACATTGTTACTGATAGACACTCTCAAAGCAGATACACATTTCTATTCTTTTTTTTTTTTTTAACCAGGACATTTATTGTGTGACTAATTGTTGAAATCCTTAAGATGAACTGGACGCTGCCACAGCTCCCTTCTTGGGTTGAGGTGGTGTTTCTTTACAGAGTCCAGGCCTGAATCTGCAGTAGACAACTTTTAGGTGCCTGTTTGACCAGTCCCAGTGGTATTTCATCTTTTAGCCTTGGCACTCCATTATACTTTCTCTTCCACTTGGCAGGATAGCCACATTTGTCACAGGTCAACTTCTGAAGGTGGTAGGCCTTAGAGCCACAGCGGGGACACAACGTGTGCATCTTAACATGGCGCTTTTCAAATGATGACGTCCCCTTTGTCATCTGGTTTCTGCAGCCAAGACCAAAGAGGCTGGAAGAGAAGGCACTATCTGCTATATATATAGCAGGTAGACATTTCTACCATTAGGGTTTTGTGGGCACAATAGCTGCTTGCTGTCAGAAGCCTTTGAAAGCCACTTCCTAAGTTGTCCTTTATCTTTGCTACCATCACCTACCCTTAATTGAGCACTTTTGTGTTTTTAAGTCACAGATTTGGCATATTACATGTCTTAACCCATTTATTCTTCTTACTACCTTATTAAATAAGTATAATCTTAAGACATCACAAAATACTACCATTTTACAGTTGAGGAAAGTGAGACTTAGGTTCAATAACTTGGCTGAGTAGCACAGACAGTAAGTGACTATAGTGGTAGGGTGCGGGTTAGGTTGCCATAACAAGGAGACTCCAAAGTGTAGTAGCTTAAATAACATAGAAGTTGATTTCTCCAAGCCTGGAAGTGAGCAGTCGGTGCTTTGCAGGGTCATTCTGCCATACTCAACCCATGACTTTCCAGATTGCTCTACTAGTCATTGCTGTTTTTCAACCAGATAATGGAGATGAAAGTATCCAGGACCCAGAGGGTGCACACATCATTTCCATTGGCCCTAACATACTTACAGTGGCCACATCTGTCTACGGAGGAGGATGGGAAGTCTAGGTCGAACATAGGCAGCCATGGGCTCAGCCAGTACTGGGTATTTTGTCACTTCCAGGAAGAAGAAGAGAAAGAAGACTGTAGGGTGGTTGACAGTTTCCATCACAGTGGCAGAGGTAGAATTTGAACCCATGTGAAGCCCTAGACATGTTTGGTTTTTATCATTGATAGAGATGAAATGTGAAATTGCCTTCAGGAATTCTCACTCATTTCCTTTTTATAATACTTTATCTGAGTTTCTTGAAGGATTCTTCAATTCTAGGGGAAGAAGTACTCAGGAAGAAAAAATCTTGTCAGGGCATACTATTCTTGGAATGGATAAAAACCCCACTGTTTTGGGGTCTCCCCACCCCCCGTAAGCTGCAGTTCTACAACTGCTTCACCAACTCCATTTTAAACCTCCCCTTCCTCCCTCTCCCTACCATTTGATATTTGTTCTCTGTCTGTATGTAATTGGTCTTACTAACCACTTGAGTTTTCCTGCAGATTAACATCTGGCTTCTTCAGATGGAAAGCATGCTGTTGAAAGAAACATCTCCTTGCTCCAGAATGTACACATTAAAACAAGTTTAAACACAAAGTAATTCTGTTTCTAAACATAATAAAAAATTATTTCCTCACAGGAACATATAGCTTGCATTGAGAACCACATCTCTGTGTACTTTTAAGTTTCCTGAAGAGAGAGAAACAGACAGTTGATAACTGCACAAATGGCAGGAATATTAGGCTTAATTTTGTCTCCCATTGCTTAGAGCCTCTAGGGAACATTCTTGGAAATACATACCCAGTAGACAATTAGCAGCTCCAGTTTTAATCACACTCTCCCTAATTAGTTAAATCTATCCCCTTAGAAGTTTTCGCTTTGGTAAGGGAAGCAGAAACCTGTTTCCCTAACTGGTCTTGGAGTATTAGCCTTGTATCAGGGAGATTATAATGGCAGCACCTAACTTTTGTTTTTGTACTTAGAGCTCAATTGTTCTGTGAATGATTATTCGGTGTTGCATCTTTTTTTTTTTTTTTTGGAGGCGGGTAACTGGTTTGCATCCTTTTTGTTCTTTTATCGTTTAATAACACTTTAGGATGGTTGGTTGGAAAAACAGTCTAAATGAGGCCTGTTTGATTTTGGAGTTGATTAGTTAATTTTACACTGTTTTAGCTAATTGTTATATAAATTACAGTTTTTAGTGCTCAGTGACTTTCTAGTTGAAAAGAAATTTTGAATATCTTTATGGTGTTCATGGATATATGATGGAGGAAGAAATTAGAGTTGTGGTTCTGAAATGAGCATTATAGTTTTTATCTATGTTGCGAATTTGAATTCAAATGAAGGAAAGGAAGCCTCATTTATACTTGGCCTGGCCTGAGAAAAAGCTGAATTTATTGGCTTATGGAACTTAAAAAAAAAGTTAGGGTATAATAGTTCTGGCCCATCTGAATCCAGAAACTTCTATAATATTGGAGTTGGTTTCTTTTGTGTTGGTGTCATTTCTAGTAGGTTCTTTCCAGATAGTGGTGATAGGCTTTCAGACTGTTCCAGGCTTACATTATATTATCAAGAACAGAGTCAGGAAACTTACTCTGTTAATAGGCCAGATAGTAATTATTTTAGGCTTTAGGAGCATTATGGTCACTATTGCAGCTACTCAACTTTGCTGTTGTAGCTCAAAAGCAGCCATAGACAATGTGTAAATGAATGGGTATGGCTATATTTCTTTCTTTCTTTTTAAAGATTTTATTTATTTGACAGAAAGAGACACAGCGAGAGAGGGAACACGAGCAGGAGGAGTGGGAGAGGGAGAAGCAGGCTTTCTGCTGAGCAGGGAACCTGATGTGGGGCTCGATCCTAGGACCCAGGGATCATGACTTGAGCCGAAGGCAGACGCTTAATGGCTGAGCCACCCAGGCGCCCCTTGCTATATTTCAGTAAAACTATTTACAAAAACAGGTAGAAGCCAGATTTTAGTCATGGGTCATACTTTGTTGATCCCTAATCTATAAGTCTAGTGGAAAGAGAGCCTTATGTAATAATTCTAAAGAAGTCCCATATTTGAATTTTCTTGGACTAAATACTTGGACCAGAGGGTGGGATAGATGATTTGACCAGACCTGACTCACCTGCCCACTCTGCTAGAACTGTGGTGGTGGGGGAATGTTGGCTTCCCCTAAGGGAAAAATCAAAGCGTTGTTATATGAGGAGGCAGGGAGACATGAGGTAGGCAAAAGTGACACAGTTTCTCCCCACTCCAATATCTAAATTCCATTTAAGTTTCTATTCAAAGAGCTTTATTCTCTGATACTTGGCCAAGAGTGAAAACCACAAGTTTACCACTGACATTATACTTAATTGTGAAAGACTAAATGCTTTCTCCCTAAGAATGGGAATAAGACAAAGATGTTCACTTCTAACAGTTTTATTCAATATAGTTTGGAATCACAACCAGAGCAATAGGGCAAGAAAATAAAATAAAAGGCATACAGATGTAAGTATATAACTTTTTTTTTTTTTAACTCAACAAGCTAGTTAGTAAGATAAAGTTTTGAAATGATTCTGCTGGATTTTCCTGACTTTCTGTTAAATCTGGGTTGACAAGCTATAGACTCACCATTGTAGCCACAGAAGCTTTTATTTTAATCTTCTGTTACCTGGTCCTTACCTGCCTCCCACCTAGACTGTGGGCAACCCAGTCCAAATGCCCACAGCTGGAGCATCATCATTGCTTGTCCATTACCAACACAGCATCTGCCACACACACACACACACACACACAACCTGAAGTATTTATTATTCTCTCCACACTATGGAAAGATGACCTAGCAACTCTGGGACTAATA